CATTATCTATATGTGTTTCTCTTGTTTTCAATTACATGTCACAAGCTTGAATAGTCCTATCATGTAATGCAGCTGATTTACATAATTTCATCATAAATTATGCAAAGTGCATCCATATTTGCATAATTGTCACAAAATTATGTTAAGCATTACCCCTTAGGCTGCTGGAGTTTCTGGCCAGTACGTGATCTCAGTGCTGGGGTTCCAGAACCCTTTATAATAGAGGGTTCTACTTTTATTTTCTTCCACAATACCCCCAATATGTTATACATAAATAGAAAGCTAAGAATCTCTACTTTTTAGAAATGTCATGCAGGTTTGCCCTAATGTCAGTAGTAATGATGTACAAGGGCAATAAAACATCCTTTTTTGTGACCTCATTGTATTAGAGTATCCAAAACCATGTATGGAATGCTAATATCAAGGCTACAAAATGTCTGACAAGTCCTGATAACATCAGGATTACATACTCGTACATGAGAAAAGATTGTACCCAGGAATGACTACAGGTGAGTAAATGACTACAAACTGTCCTGGGTGTTGAACTGACTATTCAGCTGAAAGGCTTATTACATATCAACATGGTATTCTCCTTTCTGAGGCTTTGTAAAAGATATTCTTTCAGTTGAAAGCTTACAGCTTGTACTTGCTTGAGAAATCTTTGTCAACTTCGTAACATAAACTCCATGGGCAATAAACGCATCAAAATAATAAAATATACATTTTCCACAATGACTTCAATACAATACACTCTAGCACACATTAAATCACTTTTACTTGGAATATACACTTCCTGACAAATGATGACAACACAAAGATTACTTCAAAGAAAAAAAAAAATGAATCCAGGTATTATTAGCGGTGAATTTTATGCCTACAGACTGTCTTGGATGCTGAACTGACCATTCAGCCGAAAGTCTGATATATTACAATTCTCTTTTCTTCAGCTCTAAAGGGCACAGCACAGTAATAGGGCTTTCCTATGTTAATATATGGGAATTATGTCAAAACAACGTGGTCAAAATTCATATACCTGTCAGTGAGTTTTAGACCTTGAAGAACATACATTGGCAGGGTAGGCCAACCTCTCAAGTCTCCATTCCCAAAAAATGACAAAATCCTACGCACCTAAACCATGCAAGAATTCTACCCAAACATTGAGATGTGACCCCTGACCTCTCTGGACAGCTGATGACCGCATGTAAACCTATATCTTCTTCAGCGAGCCAGACAACACAAACACAACAAAACTCTACATTACATTGCCATCTCTATATACTGGAACTGGGCCCTCTGCGCCTGCGCTATTACTGACCTTTGCCCTAAAAATAAGGTACATAATACTTCTCGTCCCCGACGTCTATCTCGTTTGTGACCGCGGACCGCCGTCAACTCCACGGCCGATGCCAAATTCTCAAACTCCTATGCAGTAAGTACAAATTCCCATCGGGACCATCGTTCCACAAAGTCATGCTCTCCACATTGTCACTACTTTCTGGAGAATCCTCGCCGAAGGAAGGAGAAATTCCCCTAGAATTAATAGTATCAAGGTCCCCAAGCACGTATTTCAGCATAAATCCGGACATTTTGTGGTTATTACCAGGAATTATTGCTAAAAAGGCATTAAAAACAACAAAATAAAGCGCTCGGCAGACGACAGCCAGCATTTTGAGAAAATCTGGCCGCGAAGCATTCTGGGATGACGTCATCAGTGATTACGTAATGCCCTTTGACCCCTGACCCCTTCTGCTCCCTGCGCACGAAGGTATCTGTATCTGTATAGCCGGTATAACCGCCTTTCGGCGTAACACACCAGCAGGTACTTCCGGGTTTAACTGCACTTTGTAATGCCGCCAAGTTTTCGTGCGGGAAATACCCCCATCCCGAATACTGTATGTCCAGGACCCGCACACAGGGCATGTACTGCCATCCCAGATACATCCGGGACCCGCAGATTAAGGGTTAAGCTACTTACATACCA